CAGAGGGCGGCACCGGGTCAGAGAGACGGTAACGAGGTCAGAGCGGAAAGCAAACGGGTCGAAGCCGTCATGTGGAAACATCTGCGGCTCCTCTGAGGGCTGACGGTCGTAAACGGCTTCGGCTCGGTTCAGTACCGGCTAACATGAAGCGGGCCCAGGAGGTTCTACTGAACTTAAAGGGAGAGTTCAGCCATTTTGAACTGGGGTTCTGTGGACAAGTCATGAAGAACTGAAGAAATGTTCCGTGACGCTGAAATTTACTGAATAAAGTTTTGAAAATAAAGGCTACAGAACAATAGCTTCAAGCTAAAAGTAGAAAAACATGAGCTAAAGGTAACAACAGACCAACTAAAGCTAGAAGTAAGAAAATTAAAGCTAAAATCTAAATGTAGCAGATGCTACAATGTTAGCTAAAGGTAGAAAAATGCTAGCTAAAAGTAGCAAAACACTTACTAAAAGTAAACGATGACAAATTAGTAGCTAAAAGCTAAAAGAAAATGACAGCAAAAAGCCAAACCTAGCAAAAGCTAAAAGAAAAAAGTAACAAAAATGCTAGCTAAAAGTTGCAAAAATGCAAGCTAACAAATAACTGCATAAAATATATATATTTATATAATATATATATTTTATATAAATATATATATTTTATATAAATATATATATATATATATATATATAAACTTGTTAAAAACTAAAAAGACAAAACCAGCTAAAAGCCAAAAGTGGCAGAATGGTAGCTAAAAGTTTAACATAAAAAACTATAACAAAAATGCTAGCTAAATGTAGCAAAAGGCTAACTGAAAGAATATCAGTAAAAAGCTAAAATAACAAAAAGGCTAGCCAAAAGGTAAATTAAAAAAATAGAAACAGTGCTCGTGAAAAGTAGCAACACATAAGCTGAAAGTACGAAGGACTGGCTAAAAACTATCAGTAGCACAAGAACTAAAATAACTTTAATTTTCCACAGAAACCATCATCTTGTTTTTAATGTTAATAAAACTTTTGCTGTTTAAATAAAAAGTTAAAGAAAAACGACCGTTCTTCAGCAGGAAGTGAAAGGTATTTGAAAATGGCTGAATTGTCCCTTTAACTCGTTCATTTTCGCAGAGGCTTTTTGGACGACGCCTTCGGCCTTTTAATGGCTTTTAACGCTTCTAAACAAAAAATAAATAAACAAAACTAATAAAAAACATTTGTTTTTCATCCTGGTAAGAGTGCTGCTGAAACGAAGCCTCATCAAACGTTTAGCTACAAATGAGACGCAGGATCCAACTTCGTGCTTAAACGTGGCGCCTTCGGCTGCGGATCAACAAGTTCCTCTTCCTGAAGACGTCGGCACGAAAACTGCTGCTGAACACAGCTGCTGAAAACTGCTGCTGAACACAGCTGCTGAACTCAGCTGCTGAACGCAGCTGCTGAAAACGGCTGCTGAACACAGCTGCTGAACTCAGCTGCTGAACGCAGCTGCTGAAAACTGCTGAACAAAGCTGCTGAAAACTGCTGCTGAACACAGCTGCTGAACACAGCTGCTGAACAAAGCTGCTGAAAACTGCTGCTGAACACAGCTGCTGAAAACTGCTTCTGAACACAGCTGAAAACTGCTGCTGAACTCAGCTGCTGAAAACTGCTGCTGAACACAGCTGCTGAACACAGCTGCTGAAAACTGCTTCTGAACACAGCTGAAAACTGCTGCTGAACTCAGCTGCTGAAAACTGCTGCTGAACACAGCTGCTGAACACAGCTGCTGAAAACTGCTGCTGAACACAGCTGCTGAAAACTGCTACTGAACACAGCTGCTGAACTCAGCTGCTGAAAACTGCTGCTGAACTCAGCTGCTGAACACAGCTGAAAACAGCTGCTGAACAAAGCTGCTGAAAACTGCTGCTGAACACAGCTGCTGAACACAGCTGCTGAAAACTGCTTCTGAACACAGCTGAAAACTGCTGCTGAACTCAGCTGCTGAAAACTGCTGCTGAACACAGCTGCTGAAAACTGCTGCTGAACACAGCTGCTGAACACAGCTGCTGAAAACTGCTGCTGAACACAGCTGCTGAAAACTGCTACTGAACACAGCTGCTGAACTCAGCTGCTGAAAACTGCTGCTGAACTCAGCTGCTGAACACAGCTGAAAACAGCTGCTGAACTCAGCTGCTGAACTCAGCTGCTGAACTCAGCTGCTGAACACAGCTGAACACAGCTGCTGAACACAGCTGCTGAACTCAGCTGCTGAACTCAGCTGCTGAAAACTGCTGCTGAACTCAGCTGCTGAACACAGCTGAAAACAGCTGCTGAACTCAGCTGCGTGCTGATGACTCAGAACAACAACGTTCACCTGAAGAGTGAGCACCGTTTGATTTATCGGCGTGTTACGGACAAACGATGACATCATCACCCTCCAGAGCCTGGCGTGTCACGCTGCAGTCAGAGAGGCGAGAGCTCCACGACCAGAAAACAAACAGCCGGTGTTTACCCAGAGACCGGAGCAGCTGCTGCACACCTGCAGCTCCACCTGGCCTCTCTGACCAAAGGTGAGGATGATGAAGATGATGATGAGGAGGAGCAGAAAATTAAGTAGAGAAATTACATTTTCTATGAAAATGCAGCGTGAATGTTTATTGTAGAAGAACTTGCTGAAAAACAGCTGAAATTTGCGAAAAACAGCTGAAACGTAGCTGAAAATTTAGAACAAGCGTAAATAAATCAGCAGGAGAAAGAAGAAAGAACACAAAAGATGAAAGGAGTGAAAAAAATGTGGAATTAGCTGAAAAAGCTAATATTAGCATAAAAACAGCTAAGTAGAAGTTGAAAAAACTGTGCACAACAAGCTGAAATTAGCAGAAAGAATTTAATTAGTTTGAAAGTAGCAGAAATCACCATGAAAAACTAGAAATTATTTGAAAACAGCTGAAATTAGCTAAAATGTGCTAAAAAGCTAGCTGAAAAGGTAGAACAAGCTTAAATTTGCTGAAGAAATCAGAAAGAACACGTGTTTGCTGAAAGAAGCAGAAATGAGCACAAAATGATTATCTGAAAAAAGCTGAAATTAGAAAAAACAGCTGAAAAGTAGCTAAAAAAGCAGAAAGAAGCTTAAATTACCAGAAGGAAATGGAGAGAGCACATTTTTGCTGAATTAGACTGAAAAAAACATGAAATGAGTGCAAAAAATGAGGAATTAGCTGAAGAAGCTAAAATTAACATAAAGCAGCTAAATAGTAGCTGAAATAGCAGACAAAGCTGAAACTTGCAGAAAGAACCTAAAAGGAGCACAAAACAGCTGAAAAAACAGCTGAAATGTGCTGAAAGTAACTGTAAAACAGTTTAAATTTGCACAAAGAAGCTGAAAGAAGCTGAAGCAGAACAAAATGTTAAAGGTTGTAAACAGCTAAAGATTTGAAGGATGTAAAACGAGCTCTATTCATTTTTTATGAGGAAAAGATGTCAGAAAAGGCTAAATATTTCAAACAGCTAAAGTTGCACCAATACCAGACGTCACATCAGGATTGTCCTGAAAGAGCCGAACGTTTTGATTCATGATTTGTTGAAATAGCTAAAAACTGCCGGAGAAAGTTGCTGAAAAATGTACAGAATAAAAATGGACGACAGTCGTTGCTTCATGAACGTTCAGTCCTGGAAACACGGAGTCCGGTGACTCTTTCGGCTGCTTCAGTGACGGTGCACCGAGAGTTTGTGCTGCAGAACCATCAGAGGAGCAAAAAGAATCAAGAAATTCACCGTCTGGTTTATCAATAACTTTTACATTATCGCCCGCCACTGAAAATACTCCAGGAACCGCTGGACGGGTTTCATCGAACCGTCGCTGGATGGACCGATTCAAAATGGACGCCACAGCTAACTTAAAAAAGCCAGTTTTACAGATGGTCTGGTAGTAGCTGAGACTGACCCTCAACATATCATCTGTGCGTCTGTTAGCAAAATATCTCCTGAACAATGGATGGATTTTGATCAAACTGTCAGGAATCAATAAACGTACGTCTAAAACTGATCGACTTTCAGGGACGACACAGTTCAAGATGGCCGCCACAGCTAATGGACGTCTGCCGACACAAAAATGGCTCCAATTCAGTTAGTTTTACTGACACTGTGATAAAAGTTGGGGTGGTAGTAGCTGAAAGTCATCCACAGCACATATTCTGAGCTCTACTTATAGTCGCCTAAACGTCTAGGGCTAAACATTGGAGTCAACCATGTTTGTCTGTTAGCAAAATATCTAACGAACCACTGGATGGAATTTAGTAAAACTTTTAGCCAATAATAAATGGATGTGCTTCTACAACTGATTAATGTTTAGGATCAAAGCAAATTAAGATGGCCGCCACAGCTAACGGATGACAGCAAACGTAAAGACGGCTGTAACTCAATCAGCTTTGCAAAGACCGAGCTAAAATTCGGCTTGGTAGTAGCCGAGGGTCGTCTTTAAAACAAACTCTGAGCATGATATGGAAAGAATAAGACTTCATTAACATTTTCGTGCTTTAAGCCTTTTTAATCCTGATGATTAATCTAACTTTCATAAATTTGCTTTTCAAATCCTGCCTGCTTCATGTTTGTGGAGCTCCTGAGCCGTGACGGACATTTTCAAATATAGACCTGGGGGGCGGGGGGGGGGGTGTTGGTTCAGCTGGGCTCCGGGATTAGAACATTAGAATAAAGCTGCGGCTCTGTCCGCCCTCCTGCAGGTCCAAACCTCAGCACCCTCCTGACACGTCTCTTTAAGAACCACTCCGCAGGTTCGGGTCCGGCCCCTCCAGGACCAGCACAAAGCTCAGACTGGGCACAAACCGACGGGTTTCTGTGATCTTCGACCCGAACAGACTTGGATCCTGCTCTAGCTGTTAAAAAGTGTTTATTGAAGACAACGATGGAAGGTGTTCTTCAAACTGAACGTGTCAGAGCGGGTGTTCTGAACACGTCATGTTCTTCAGAATGAAATGCATTTTAAATGTTCTGGACCGGAGCAGTGAAGTGATGGTGAGGCTTACCTCCCAGCAGCAGCAGCAGCAGCAGCAGCTGCAGCGCAGCCACGTTTCCCCGACAAAACCCACAACTCGTCTCCATATCCACGGAGGGGAAAGTTTCCCGGGAAAACACGGATCCCAAAAGTTCCTTCCAGGAAAAAAAAAAGAAGAACGACGGGATAAAACGCACACACGGGTGGTGTGGAAGCTGCTCCGGGGAGCCGGATGAAGTCCTCAGAGTCCCATGAAGGAGCTGCTGTGTGGCGGTCCTGAGGCTGCTGCTGGGCTGACTGTCAGGAGGAGGAGGAGGAGGGAGAGGAGGAGGAGGAGGTTCACCCTGTGCACGCTCCTGCAGCAGCAGCTACATGAACACCACAATAAATCTTTATTTAAACAAGATAAACGGTCCAATAATCCCAGTATTAGGTGCAGGGTGACGAGGCAGGGCTGCTCTGACATTTAAAATGTTATAATAATCATCTTACCTGCTGTAGATAATTTAAACAAATGTTGGTTTGAAGAAATAGTTTACTGGGAAGGGACTGTTGAGCTCACAGCTCGTCCGAACAATCAAAGTATATTGATAATTAGACACAGGGGCAGGTAGGCGTGGCTTAACATGGACACACCCACCCAGTCAAACGGCTTACTTTATTTTTCTTTGTCCTGAATTAAAGTAAATGAAGAAGGTTAATTACTACACTAAATGATTTAAATACTTTTAACAGTCAATGAGTTGAGTGAATTACAGATTTCAAATGTACGGTTTGTTTTTAATGTTTCATATGGCTGCTGTATCTGAAGCCGGTTCAGTTGGTCTAATGAGGTTTGGTTGTTTTTGAGACCTGTTGAGGTAGAACCAGGGCTTAATTTGAGCCGGATCCTGCCGGAACAGGATCCAACTGTTGATCCAGTAACTCTCAGGCTTACTAATAATAAAGTTGTAAAAAAAATGTGACTGCATTGAACAAAATAAACTTATATTGGATATGTAAACTGAAAATAATTACATAAACACTAATTTTAAACACAACAGCCACTTATGAGTATCGTAATATCACATACGATCTGCCCCTTCAAGTAGCATTTCTACCTCCACCCTTAAAAAATCTCCACCCCTAAAAGAGCAGTGGGGGGTGAGAGTCGAGCTAACCAGACAGTCGTATGCAAGCAGGCGCCTGGAGGTGTCACACGTGGAGTCGAACAACAACGAGCAGGGACAGAGTTGGGCTCTGAACCATCGAGTAAAGGAGGAGGGGGAGGATGCTCGACAGAAGCGGCGTGTTTACAAATGTAGATGTTAAAATACACCAAAATGTAGGAAATCGCATCTACTTTATTCAAAATTTTCTGGGGGAGGAACCCCACCCGCCACTCCGCCTGCTATTTGCATTCTGGCATCGATTGGTTTACAAATTAAGCCCGAGATAAAACCCTACAGAGCTATGGTTCCTAAAGTTGGGTTTGGGAAAATGTGGGAGGGCAGGCTCGGATAGTCCCCCCTGATGAATCGTACCGCCTGTTGCTGAGCGTAAGACAACGGTTATGTTGATCTTAGGGGACAATCTTCCACTTGGAACAAGAATCATGGACTTTAGCTCTCTGGTCTACATATGGTTTTTGGATCTGGAGGTTTATGCCGATGTTGTTCAAGGCATTCTGTGGGGGGGTCACTTGTAAGAGCCGTCTAGTCACTGTAGAACCAAAGCAAAAGCCGTGGCACAAAGAAAAGATCGTCCTGAGTGCAGGTTGGACTCCACTCCTGATGTCTTGGGCCATGACGCTGACAGCGCACTGGATCGGTCCTGAAGCTTCTGAGAGTCAGCTCCTCGAACGAAGCCGCGGTTCTCAACTGGAAAAAGACTCCTTCTGGGTCAGGGATGAGTCTCTGCCTCAAGCAGAGGAGTTCAGGTATCTGGACCTCGTCTTCAGTGCTGAGGTCGTTGTTGAGTTGAGTTGAAAGGCAAAGTTCTGGATTTACTGGTCTGTCTACGTTCCAGCTCTCACCTGCGGTCATAAAGTGCTGATCAAAACTAAATATAGAGATCCCAGATACAAATCAGAGCACTACAGCAATTCTCTGGTCCTTTCCTTCTGTGTAAACCAGCTGGTAAGATATGTTCGCTCTCATTCCAAATAAATTAATGCTTTCTTTGTGCCATTGGAGAGTTTGAGCATCATTATGTGACATTAGTAGCACTTTACAACAAGGATAACGTTTCCATATGTGAGCCATGAGACACAGGCGCCAAGAAAATCAATGAAAAGAAGAAAATGCTTGGTGTAAACATGCAGACTTAATGATTTTTATGGAGTCACCCGTAAAAACAGAAGACAAATGAGTTAAGAGTTTAGCTGAAACTAAGCTGGGAAGAAAAATAGAATAGTTTTTATACAACCTGTGCAGTCACGTCTTCAAGACCGTTCAATCTGCTGGGATTGACAACTTGATGCGTATTTTATACAGAATAATGTCCGGTATTCTCAGACAAAAGATAAACTGGGACCATCACACTCGAGACTGAGTCCTGAAGTTCTGAGGTCACCGACTCCATCTTACACCAGCCGTCAGTGCAGGACATTTAGGATGGAGGCAGTCAGGGACACGTGGAGGTGCGTATGGTCGGGCTCAGACTAGAGTCCGGTTTTGACTTCTAGATGGCACACACCATAAAGACAAAATATTGAAGTCCCAAGGACAGTGATAGGTGGAAGGATAGGCTTGTTGCACTTCGTTTGATGACTTGTATCGCCTGTTGCAGAACATAAGACAACTATTTTGCTGATCCTCTGGGAACATTTTTCCATTTCTAAGAGGAATCGTGGACGTTTGAGTCTCCAGTCCATGTATTTTGTGGATCTGAATGTTTATGACCGTGTTGTCCGAGGCACTCAGAGGGAGGTGCTGGGGTCCTTGTAGCTGCGCAGTCCCTGGACCAAATCAAGAGTCGTGTCCGCATCCTCAGCACCAAGTCAAACTTGCTCCCGCTGCAGGTTGGACTCCGCAATAAGGACTCTGCATACTCCGTCAGAATCGACTCCCGTTGATGTAGTAGCGTGACGTGAATCGTGTCATTTCGTTCACAGAGCAGCACTGACCGCCACTTCTCCACACGAGGCTCGTATTGTGTGACTGAACAAAAGTTTGTGGTTGTGTTAACATTCAGCTGTACGACTCAAAGACACACTACGATGGTCAAAAACTCCTGGATGGAGATCCTGCACACATTGTGAACAGAGGAGTCTGCTGAAAAGTGTGGCGCACCCTCCATGACAGATTTGAGGCCAAATGGCGGATGCAGGGACGGAGTGGAGACTCTGGTGGGAAGAAGCTGGTGTCGGGACATTTACTGCAGCGGTAGGAGTTTCCCAGGAGCTGTGCGTCTCGTGGACTATGAAAGGTGTGTGCGAAAATGACCGTTTCACAACCGCGTGACCGTTCGGCTTCGCATGGAGCATGCAGGGCTCTAAAGACTCCCTCATCTCAGATCCTGTTTGTGGTTTTCATGAATGGGACCTCAAAACGTAGAGGGTGGTGTCCGTCTTGAGAACCTCTGGGTCACATTTCTGCTTTTTGCAGATGATGGGGTTCTGTTGGTATCTTAAGGTCATGACCTTCAGCGTGCACTGGGATGGTTTGCGGCCACATGTGAAGCAGTTGGGATTAGAGACAGCTGCTCCAAGTCCAAGGTCCAGGTTCTCAACCGGAAAGGTTTCCTCTGGGTCGGGAATTAATCTTTGTCTCGAGTGGAGGAATTCAGGTATCTGTGAGGTTTGTGCAAAGATGGAGCAGGAGGTGGACGGACTGATCAGGGTTTTGTCTGCAGTGTTGAGATGTTGCTCCAGTCTGTTGTAGTGAAGGAGCAGGAGCTAAAAGGCAACTTTCTCAGTTTACTGGTCCATGTACAAGAACCTGAATACAAGCAGCTGAATTGAGCTTTCTCCATTCCGTGGCCAGATCCAGACTAAAGGTCAGGTGAGGAGCTCCGTCATCTGGGGGGAACTGGGAGTAGAGCTGCTGCTCCTCATCAAGTCAGCTGAGGTGATTTGATCTGACTTGGATGCTTCCTGCTGTGGGAATGTCCCACTGGGAGGAGACCCCGACGCAGAACTCCATGGACAGATTGCGTATCCCCTCTGGTTTGGTAGCCCCCAGGAAGAGAACGGGATGTCTGGGTTTCCTCCTGGACCTGTTGCCTCTGATCAAACCACAAACAAGTGGCAGAAAATAGATTTAAAGAAGTGCATGAAACCACCACCCACCAACTTTATACTAAAGTTAGAAACATTCCAGATGTCTCATGATCTGGGAGAAATCAATGCACCTCATAAATTTTAGAAAATTACCGGCGCTCTCTGCATCTTTGTGTTTGTTGATCTTGTGATGTACGAGAGTTTTTAAGGTATGTCACATTAAATGAGCCGTTCGAGGAGTTTATTTAAATATAAAGCTTAATTTTCACCTGTTTCCGAGCCCCTGCAGGACGTCAGGCGATGCTTTTACAGCGTTGTGGAGTGTGTAATGGGATAGCTCTCAGGACAAAGAGCCCGATGCCGTTTCATTAACTGGACGATCATTTCATGATGGACACGATGTGCACGCCACCTGACCTGATGAGAGGGACCGCTCTCCGCCGGTTCAGGGCTGCGTTAGACACGAATCACTTAAACTGTCTTTCAGCATAATAATGAGACAACATAAACCATCATGCAGTAAAACCAGTATCTCACTGGGCTGTGACTGTTTAAAGATTAGTTTGCCACCTACACTTGTGAAAAACGTGCATTTGTTTTTAGTTGCAGACTAAAACCAGCGTCTCGCTGCGCCACGGCAAATTTCAAACTGGGCTCGTGAGGAATTTTTCTAAATGTCAGGAAACGTTTGCGGGGGGGGGTTCTCGATCCGGACTGTGCACGGTGTCACGTGGACTCGGAGCCTGCTCAAAACACATCTGAGTCAATCATCGTCTCAAACCAGTTTCCAAAAGTCAAACGTATGAGACGAGTACAAAAAGCTTTGTGCCCCGTTGGAGACTTTATCCAACACGTGCCGAGGCCTGGAACCACAGCCGACCCGTTTTTATTGGCACTCGTGCAACAACATCGAGATTTCCGGGCAGATTTGGACACAAATAATACAATTTGTGCCGTTGGTGCGATTTGCACAAACTTCTCCTAAATTCAACGTTTTCTTGCAACTGTCCTGAAGTTATTTATTCACCGACTCTCCAACATTTGCAGCCAAGAGACACTGGCTGCACTCATTCTGAGCGCTTCACACTAAAACACCGTCAGTTTAGGAAAACCACGAGATTTTTTTGTGCGTGCACGTTTTGTAACGCTGTATTCTGGGACGTGCACATTATTTAGTTGCATACATTGTCCCAGCTTCGACCCTCTTCGCAGCCGACCCCACGTTTACGATTTGAGCCGAGTACACAAGTAGTTTTTGGACCTGGACCGCCGGGTCTGGAGCCTCGGGTGTTTTGTCGTACGGAGCGCCTCCCAGCAGCGAGTGCCGCTCTAACGCTCGAGAAAAAGGTTTTAGACGCCTGCAACAAAACTGAAGCCCGCAACAACCCCTCGACTATTCTGAGAAAATTAGTTGCACAAATGTTTCTAATGCGTCCAAAACTCAACAGCGAGTCTGCGCGACCCGGTTCTTTACAACAATTTTCAGTCAGGTCATCTGGACAGGTTCTTTTTAAAGAACCTGTCCAGATGACCTGACTGAAAATTGTTGGATTGTATACCTGGATTATTGAGCATGGACTTTGTTGGTTTTTAACCCAATTCTTTACGTATTTAAGACGCCGTCTACAAACTGGTCAACGGTTCCAGCCCAGTCTGATACTGGCTTAAGCTGCAACGTTTAGGTGTTAAATGTAAAACAGCTTCGTTGGAGTTCAGCTGATGAATTTGAGTAATTTCCCTGATTTTCTAATCCAACGAGTGCAAGAAGTGTCAGGTCCATTAACAACGCTCCTTTATGAGCTGTGCATCGTGACCCCTATTAAAGTACTGACACTTGGACAGCAGATGGTACACACACACACACACACACACACACACACACACACACACACACGGAAACACAGAGGAAGAGGGCGAGTGGCCATGACAACAGGCTCATAATAGCCGGCAGTGTGCAGAGGAATCACTTGTCCTAATTTGTTAAGTACCGCATCAGTTTATCTAATTTATTCGGTCTTTTTGTGCAGAAAACGAGCAGCATCAGATCAATCCTGAGGCTCCGCCATGACAGCACACGTCTTTACAGATGAGCCGCTGGTTTTAATGGTTTTCATGGATTTTTACGCTGCAGCTCATTTGTAATAAAAACACTGATCACTTCCTCCGTACGCCGTCGTTTATCAGACAACTGAGAGAAAAGCGAGTAAAATACACAATACAACCCTGTAGGTACTGGGTACCAGGCTGTATTATGTACCAGGTATTTACATGATACTTTGTATTAAGTACTGCCATCTACTTTTGTCAAAGTTATCTGATTAGAAAGTACTTAACTGGTTCTTACTGGGTAATTAGCTGGTACATACTGGGTACATGCTTAGTATACTTGTTACATACCAGGTACAGAATTTGTATATACCTATCATTTATTAGGCAAATCAGGTAAGTACTAGTACTAGTAAGTACAAGTACTTAGCTAAGTACATACTCTACATGTCTCATACATTGCAGGTTAGTACCAGGTACTTAGTGGGTACGTACTGATAGGTACTGGGACTTAAAAGGTACAGAACTTGTATATCTACTATCTATCAGGTAAGTACACGGTATGCACCTAATACATACATTGTATTTAGTACAGTACACAATATGCATGTACCAGGGGATCAGCAGGTACACAACCAGGCATGACTTGGCATTTATTGGGTAAACCATTTAAGTACCTAGTTAGTACCAGATGGTACTCGGTACTTACCATGTAAATAAACTGTATGAACTTGGTCTGTATTTTTTATGTACCTGGGAGTTAGCTAATACAAAGTAGGTATGTGCTTAGTGGGTCTGTACTGGGTACAAAGCAGTACAGACATGCAGTACAGAACTGGTACGTACTTGGTACCAAATGAGTACATACTGCATACATATCTGGTATTTATCAGGTAATCCAGAAGAAGTACTTAGCACCAGATGGTACCAAGTACTTACCAGGTATGTACATGTCATGTACCTGGTAAGTACTCAGTGTTGCGTATTCCTACCTAAAACTGAACTTTCATTAATCTAAACGTAAAAGCTGCTTTAAAACAAAATCATAAAACTCCTCTCGTTTGGATATTTGACGCATCAGCTGTCTCTTGTAAACGAGTCCTCGAGGCTCAATGGGACTAACCCGTCAAAATAAAGGTGGAACGAATGCGTGAGTATCAAAGTTCATCTTCAACAACAGGAAGGTTTTAGTAACGGCAGAACGTTGGGTCCGGTGATCCAGATTATATTTTGAGGAAGAACTTCTTCCTGTACAGCAGGTAGGACACGAGCACCCACAGCGCGGTTCCCCACAGGTTCTGCAGCAGCAGCTCCCAGTGGCTCTCCTGGAAGCGGATTTCCCAGCTGAAGGGAAAGTAGAACCCGAGGAGCGAGTGGCCGACGTACACCAAGATGGAGTTCGTTCCTGCAGGCGGGACGAGGAGGGCGTTAGTTTTTGTTTTTAACAATAGTGTCACTAAGTGCTGCAGTTTGCGGACGTTTCGGAACCAATTAATTTCAAGATGGCCGCCGCAGCCAACTTGATCAAACACAGAAAAATGATTTTAGCTAAGCTGGTTTTATAACGAGCTGAACTTTGGTGTGGTAGTGGTTGAGACTGATGCCTCACACGCACTCTGAGTGCCAACTGATCGTGTTGGATCTTTTTATACATTTTTTTGATGGTTTGCTGTTTTACGCATCGTTTTATTCACAAGTTATTTACCTGAGTAAATCAAGAACGGCACGACGGACTGGAGATAAAACTTTCCAACGTGTTCGTGACGCCGTCGTTCTGTCGCCGATTTGATCAAAACAGACGTGTCGTCTGAAACACGCTCGTCTTACAGAGAGGGTTTCATCTCACAATATTTGTTCCTCGTCTTCGAGCGTAGATGAACCGTACCTGGATTGATGAAGGGCTGTCCGCTCCACCAGCCTTTCACGTCGATGATGAGGTACATGCCTCCGAGCAGCAGGAAGGAGAAGCAACCCATGCACATCACGTACGACAGCGACCTGAAGAAACAGACGCTTTACTAAACTGGACTCCGCACGCTAAACTCCCAACAGTTTGCATCAGGGAATTTTGGTCAAGGTTTATAGGTTTGTTTTACCACTGTGGCTGAAAATGTTAACTGCCCATGAACCACGTGTTTGAGTTATCAGAAAGCTCTTTTCTGTCTCGGAGAGCTGAACGAGGAGCTCATTTGATGCTGCATGTGCAGCTGTGTGGTCGAGGCCATCAGTGTCCGTCTGTGAGAGCTGATAAGATTATAAAAACAATTGCCACACGCTGCCCGGTGCAGATTCTCACGACTGAGCTCCGTGCATGAAGAACTGTTCATCTGAGTAACCTGTGGTGAAAATCTGCCCCCGCAGGTGAAAACACTAAAAACCTTCTTGTGTCCTCGAGTGTGGCGTCTTTGAGTAACTAAAATGAAAAGAGAATATTTTTATCCAAAAATTTGTGAAGATCTCATCTACTGAACTCTCAAAATTATTTAAAACTATTTTTTTTTCTCGGTTCATTAAAAAGTCCGTCTATACAGTAAGTCCCTCGCTACTTCCTGGTTCGTTTTTCGCAGACTCGCTCTATCGAGGTTTTTAAAAATAAGATTGGACATGACACACAGCTGGATGAGCCGCACGATCGGCATGGAATTTTATTTAAAATAAATTATTTTAAATCATTTAGCACCTGTGTGCAGCCCGCACCGCAGGAGAAACTTCCTGCTTCAGCTGATCAGCTGATCTCCATGCAGAGCGGAGAAGTGGGCGTGGCCAAGAGCGCTTGCAAGTGGCAAAGAGCAGCAGATGAAGAGAGTTAAAATCATGACATTCTGTGTCTTTTAGAGCGTTTAGAGTTTAGAAACATTGTCTAGAATATTGCAAGAGTGTGGGAAGGGTTTAAAACGCCTTTATATATATATATATATATATGAATAATAAAATAAACTACTACTTACTACAAGTACAAAGTACTATTCCTACTTCGCAGTTTTCACTTATCGCATGTCTTCAGGGTACAGATCCCCCGCGATAAACGAGGGACCACTCACCGTATTTCTAACTAGAACGCAGAAGTACCCATGATGCACCACTAGGGGGCGAGAACTTCCACAGTGATGACAAATAAAATTAAAATATAATATTTTAAGTGTTTATCGGACTGGGTTGTGGCTAGGTGGGGGCACGGGATTGTGATAAAAATGGAACCAAACTGAGTTGTTACGACACGTTTGTGTAATTAAGTGCGAATTAATAGCAACAATAGTGCAACGCTCATGGAACGATGCGCACAATTTTCATCTCAGCTTAGTCACAAAATGTTTTAATAATGTCTCAGCTCGATTAAAGTTTTTTGTTTTTTGGGGCCTCTAAACCCATCCCAAAGTCGTCTCCTTTCTTTTAAGCTTGTGGAGAATAAATTGCAAAGGTTTCGAGACACCAACAACTCCGTCAATGTTAATTTTATTTAAAAAGCACATTTAGAAACAAAAACGTTGACCAAAGTGCTTCCCACGCTGGTTGAAAACAAAGTAGAATATATAAATATTTATATACTTGTATGCAGAAAAACACATAAACCAACAAACTGTTGTGCACTGTTTTTAACACAAAGTTTTAGCAGCTTAAGAGCAAAAAAGGAACAATCGTAAACATTTTGAGACAAATTGGAAACTCGAAAGCAACGAGAGAAATGGAGTGAAAGCTGAGTGGCTTTTGTTGAAAATGAGCTTATAGCTAAATGCTAGCAAAACTTTAAAGCAACAAAAATCCAGCTGAATGCTAAAAAAAGAAAGCACAAGCCGAGTTAAAAGCTAATAGTAGCAGAAGGCAAGCTAATAATAAATGGCTAGCTTGTGTTTTCTTTAGCTAGCCTTTGGCTTCATTTGTCATATTATTAGCTAACGACAAAATTTAGCTTCCATAGTTTAGCGTTAGTGGTGCGATCATTAACAGAAGTAGAATTAGCCGAACTATAGTCTTAGCATTAGCACAGTTAGCAGTAGTCATTTTAACATTAACAAAGCTAGAATTAAATTAGCATTAGGAATAGCATCATTAGTAGAAGTTTTACCAGAAATGTGTACTTTATTAGGATTTAAATTTTGTAAATGTTGCTATATTTAAAAAGCATCACATTTACAAAAAACAAAACTCATTCATCTCCTGAATGGTCTGAACATTTTTATATACGACATGTAGCTGCGGTGGCCATATCGTACGGCGTCGACCCAGTGACCACTGTCCCGTGTTTCCACTCGTTTACTTGCCTTGGCAGGGCGCTCGGGGGTGGGGGTGGGACAACATGTCTGCGTTGCGCGCCGTTTGTACCGACAGTTTTCGAGGGGTGGGGGCATGGACGCTCAGAATGAGCGCAACCTCTGTAGCTTTTTAACTAGCGCATCCGTATTGCGCGCCGCTAGCTTAGCGCTACGTCAGTGCCAGCGGATGTCGACGGGGGGTGGGGGGTGGGCGTTCGGTAAGCGGGGCGCTCTGTTCTGTTGACAGGGCGGGGCGCCCAGCTTGTGTAATGGTAGGGGAAACACTGCTGTCTGAAAGGTTTGTTAATTCAGTTTCAGTTCAGTTTAATAGTCGTTAAAATCCATTCAGTGAACCGTGGGACGCAGACAGACGAGCTAAAACACCCCCACCCCTCTGCCGTCACCGGTGGGCGATCGCAGCCCCCACAGCTCGCAGACGCAGGGCAAACATCTTTGGGACAGTTTGGTCAGAAGATGTGGATGATGGCCTGCGCCCCGTGGAGCTGTGCCAGCCGTGTCCCTGTCTGCCTCTAAGTGCAACGATGTTTGATGAAATACCTTCTAATGTGAAACGGCCTCCTTACGGGGGGGGGGGGGGGGGGGGGG